TTTCTTCTTCATATTCCAGTAAGTCATGGCTTTCTGATTGTCATGTGGTAGATGGTGTAGCTCATCAGAGGTGTCCATACCCTAATCCCTGTATTCTAAGAATGTGTTACGTTACCTGCCAAAAGGGACTATGCAGATATAATGAAAGCGTTGAACTTTACAATGGAGAAGATTATCTTGGATAAGGTGGGTGGGGCCAATCTAATTACATGGATTTTTTTTTTAAAGATTTATTTATTCATTTACACAAGAACCGGGGTACAGGCCAGATGCACGGGAGGGTGAAAGGATTCACCAGAGACAGAGCGGGGAACAGAACAGGCAGACGGATGAAATACACTGCTGAGGGGAGCAGCGGGAGCGACAGGAGAGGTCTGCCGTGCCATGTGGGACCCTCGCCGGCGGGCGGGCAGGGATTGAACCAGTGCTGCAGAGGCTGCGGACAGCTTCACAGCGCAGCGCTCAACCATCTGTGCCACCAGGGGAGGCCCTAATTACATGGATTCTTAAAGCCAAGAACTTTTTCTGTTTGGAGGAAGAAAGATACGGCAGAAGAAAGAGGAATCTGCAGCTATTGCCTAAGGAAGGCCACATGAGAAGTGTGAGCAGGAATGAAGGCTGTTTCTAGGAGCAAAAGCTGACTTCCAGGTGGCAGACAACAAGGAACGGGATCCTCAGTGTCACAACCACAAGGAACTGAATTTGCCTAACAATTTGACTGAAATTGGAAGCAAATTCACCCCCAAGCTTCCAGAAAGGAACACAGTTCTGCTAAAACTCTGAATAGAGGATCCAGCTAAGCTACCTTTTACTTAGATTTCCAATTTATAGGACTAGGAGGAATAAATATGTGTTATTTTAAGTGATGAAGTTTGTGGTGATTTGTTATGGCAGCAAGGGCAAATTAATACATGCCATGTTCAAGAAGATTCTGAGGCTGTATCCAGGTACAGTGGCAAAGGACTCAATGAAAAATCAAAGGTCTGTCCCATGGAATAAGACAGAGGTGGCTTCTATGGGTCTCCATTTGCCAGCCATGACCTACATGCTGTGCTTGGGCTAGAAATAAACTAGCTGCTCTTTCTGCCTGGACGACCTTCCCCTAGTGGTTTACTGTCTCACCTTAAGGCCTTGACTCAAAACAACTCACCACGGTGCCTTTTCTGCCCAACCTGGCTAAAATGTCATTACCTGGAAACATTTTACACCATGTCCCTGTTCCATTATTTCTCTCTAGCTGTCATCACCTTATAACATTCTGATTTACTGTGCTTATCACCTGTCTGGGTCCCCAGCAATGGAATGTAAGCTCCAAGCAGAGGTGTCTGTGTCTTGTTCACTACCATATCCACACACCTAGAATAGTGCTTGGCACATAAATATCTGTTGATATAAAATTACCATTAAAATGAAGAGACTTCCTTCTGGATTGTCAAATTCACACATCTCAACATATTCGTCGTCATCTTAAATGGGGAGACTCAGAAAGGCCCGTAGGCAAAGAACAGAAGGCACTTGTGCCCACAATGGAGTTGGGCTCTTCTTTCACAGCTGGCAGCACAGTCAGGAGCAAGTCACCATGTCAGGTCGAGGAGGACTGGAGAAGTATGGGGTCATAACAGGCAAACAATTCCCCGTGCGCTGGAGGTTTTCCACCTGGGAGGAGGCAGAACACTAATAGGTCAGGTGACTGCCCAGTTGCTTCTGACCCTGATTGCACAACACAAGGAAACCCTCAGGATGCAAGGCCAATTCAAGTAGCATAGAGTATTGAAACCTTCACACTTCAAATTCCAACCCAGTACGGCTGGCCTTTGCTAAAATGCTGTAAATAACCAGGTTAACACATCCAGGGGATGCGGGTCACAGATACCAAGGCCCCAAAATGAAGTGAGGTTGTCTCTAACATTACAAAATAACACTTGTCCCTACCTAGGACTGATTCCAGGGCCAGCAGAGGAGGGCTCACGTCTGCTTATTCCTAACATGAGACAGAGGCAGCATTCTTGGTGGAGAGAGGGAACCAATTGCCACCTGACCCCAGTTCTGGGAATGTCCCAGGAGCCCCTGAAAGGAAGCTCTTGACACACAGTTGCCATGGGGTGTGGGAACTGAGAGGTGAGCTCCCACGCAAGCAGTTCCCTGACTAGAGGTGAGTATCAAAGAGCACTTTGGTGCTGGGCAGTTGAGACAGTGAACCTGAGCAAAATATCCTTCCAGAAAGCCTCTGCAGTATACTTGCTTGCCTTTTAAGAAGTACATGCACTCACTGCAAAGCTTCATGCAGAAACAGATATTAAATGGCTACACTTGGGCTATACTTTGCTATTTGCACTTTTTTTTTTCTGATCTTGATTAAACACCAAGGGTACCTGGATCAGACTCAACAACATTCTGCTCCCTAGGTGGCTCTATTATTGCATTTTCTTGCTGGTCTTGTCCAGAGCTAGTTGCTTCTCTACAACATAGTTCTCTTTGGGGGAGGGGCTGGGGTATGTATCAGGCATGCTTTCCTGAAAACTCATTTTGAGCTCAAATGGACAGGCAATGTCCATGTATGCAAGAATCTTTATGATATTCTCTCTACAGATTTTCTAAGGACTTGCAAGTTTAGCTGCAAGAAATAACTTGTATATTTGGAAAACTGGTAAATTTGGAAAAGAAAGAATACATTGCTCTGAATTCGCTACTTATCTTAGAACTTTTGCCACTTATTAATTCTTGAAACCTCCAACATCTCATTTTTCACTTCTGTGACATACTATGCACAGAAAGACCCAATCATTTTATACCTAATCTGCTTTGAAATGTGCCCCTGAATAGAACATTAAGTCAAATAATACAAAGAAAGACACGCCATAAAAAACCAAGAGCTATGATTCAAAGACTCTACAAGACCAAATTAGCATATTTTAGATAAGAACTACAGCAGTGAGGGATTTTTCTTCATTTCTTAGGGAGGAGAAAGGGAACGAGGTTTGAAATGCAGCATTTCCGATTCACTGCTAGCCCGTCACATCCAGGAACACTGGAATAATCATCAGAAACAGAACAGTTTAAAAACACTGCGATGATGAGGGGACCCCTAACAAGTGCCCAGCAGAATCTGGCTAGCATGGGAAGAGCTGGCATTTCTCAAGTTAAGCAATTAAAGTTTAAAGCATTTGGGCCTCTTGAAAAGTGCTCTGATTGTTTGGAAGGACAATATCGGAACATTTTCCATTGGAGATTTAAAATATGTTTCAGTGTGTGTGATGATTAGTCTCTCTAACAAGATGAAATGTCAAGTTTTAGCAGGCAGAACAATTATGACTAGCAATTATTCTTTTAGGTAAACATACATAAAATATATATTTTCTGGAGAATTTTGTAACTCTGATGATTTGTTTTTTATCTTTATAGTTTTGCAAAAACACAGAAACATTTATTATACTGAAATGTGTACATTCTACTATTCAAAAAACAAAGGAGCAGATTTGCTGGTTTGCCGATTTGCACCTGTGTCAATGCCACTTGATGAATTTTAATTAAATTATTTTTACCTCACTTGTAAAACCTGATGAGGACTACAAAATAGCACATGGAATTAAGTGGCATTTATTATTTTTTTTTATAAATTTTGAAACTCAAAAAAAAAAAAAAAGAATGTTAAGTGGACAAACTAAAGCCTCAAACAATTAAAAGGTAAGTTCACTTCTTTCCCAAGTGATTGGTTGAGGAACCATAGTCTTTTGTGCTTCTCCTTCAGGGTCTCTATGGGAGATACAGATATTTCCAAGTAACCCTCTTGATGAATAAAACATAAAATGGCAACGTTTTCACCCACAGAAGTGATTTTCTCTTCTGGGAGAGATTTCAAACTCAAAATTACTCATTTCTAATTTGGCCCGAAGATAAGGATCCAATAGTGCATGCAAAACCCAACACAGACAGAGATGCTATAATTAAGAAGACTGGGGGTTTTAAAAGAAAAATAGGTTCTGCTACACCACAGGCCCCAAAATGCTTGATGATAAATACTGAGCAGGGAGGAGATATAATAGGAAAAAAATGCAACTACAGTGGATGCCTTTTGAAAAGTATACTGCCAGACAAGCATTTGGTTTGTGAAAGAGGCACTCTTTTTACTGAAAAAGAAGCGAGTATATGTATAAAAAGACCCCAGGTTACCAGCAAATGTTTAACCATGTTCCTACTCAATATTTGAGAAGTGTAAACAAATTTTTATGGTACAATTTAGCGTGTGATTGGTACTGTCTAGTGATCCACGAATAATTTCAACTTGTTGCTAACAGAGAGCCCTTAACACCAAGTTAGAAACTATCACGTTCCTCCTCCCAGGCTTCTCCGGCCAGGACTGCCATCCTTATTTCCAATGTCTGGGGTAGAGCTTTAAAATTATTTAAGACAAACATGGGGTGGGAAGGGTGGTTAGAGACAGAGAAAAGAAGGAAAAAGAGAAGGAAAACCACGAGTTTAAAAGGCAATGGGGCTTCAAAACTGGAAACCAGAGACAAAATACTAAAGCGGAGGCAGAAGCAAAAAGTTTTTCAACAAATCTGTGACAAAGCACAAACATGTCTCTGTGCCCACTAGGAGTTACACCGAGGCTGTCACCAAGGCACTCTTGAGAACGCAGTTTGTTTCAAGCCTGCCTTCCTGGCCTGGATCCCGCCCCACCTGTCAGGATCACACCCTTAGACAAGATTCCTTCTAACAAGGGGCCCAGCCTCTTACCTGGCCACGGAGGGGTGGGGGGGGGGGTTGCGCACCTAATCAGCACACAGCATCTCTCCACAGATTCCAGGCTGGTTCCACAAAGGCACTGTCCCCTGCCCCAGTCAGCATAAGGTTCAGGCAAAAAAAAAGTCAAACTGGCACAAAAAGGCAAATTGCCCAAGCACATTTTTACATTCATTTGCAAAGTTCACACAGTGTAAAGCGGAAGCAAAGGCAGCTTCTGGAAACTGTATCTACTGGCCTCTGCCAGAGAAGCAGGCAGGCCCACCTGCACGGCGGCCCTAAGAAGTAGGCAGTGCTGTCTGAACAAGCTCGGGCTCACTAGTGGATACTTGGCAAGTGACAGAGAAGATTCACCTCCCAGACAGCTCACTAGAAAGGTCAACTTGTGTTTTCAACATGGAACATTTACACAATAAAAAAATGTGATCCTGAGACGTCTTGGATTCAGTCTTTACTCACTTTTAAATGTGACTTTATTTGGTGCTGAATAAAGTTCAAACCAGGAAGACATCACTTCAAAATTATGTGGATACCATTACCATTTTCAGCTTGTACTGCAGAGAGTAAAAAGCAACTCTCATCTTCAAAGTGCTGAACCATCTGATCGCTAACAAGAACGAAAATACCAGTGGGACCCTGTCTGTAAATCTGGCCGATTTGGTGGAAAGGAATATTAAACAGCAATGCAAGTTTCTGAGCGACTTCGGAGGCGACCATTTCTTCCAAGTAGATTGCATGATAAATGTAGGGTGCCCCACTGAAGGGGAAGCTTCCAAAGCCTGAAGCCAGCTGCTGCCCTGGCAATGGGATGGTGCTGGGCTGCTCCTGGCACACATAGATGGTTAAACGGGGCTTCACGGACTTTGACTTCAGTGAATTATAGAGTCGAATGCCGTCGGCTGCACCACAAATTTGTGCCAAATCCTCCTTTGTCAATTTCAGTAAGTCTGCACCTGAAAAACTGGAAAAAAGTGTTCTGTAGGGAGAGAATCTGTTTCTGAGCAGCCACTCTTGTGTTTCCTGGATGGTGGCTGAAGGCTGAAGGGCATCACCCGGGGCCTGCGAGGCCCCAGCAACCTGCTGGCCCGGGATGGGATCGCTACCGGCCAAGCCGCAGGTGCCCTGCGGGGGGAGGGTGGGGGTGGGCGCCGCGGGCAGACTGTTACTCACGGGGCTTGTGGGGACATCGGGCCACGGGGAACACTCGGTGAGGATGGTGGTGTCGTAGGACTGCTGATACTTTTCTTTTTCATTCGCCGTTCTCTTCTCCATCTTCTCTCGGTCAGTTTTATGTCTTCGGTCTGCCCCTTTAGGCTTAAAAACTTTGATTTGGCAGCTGGCGGAGTGGACGTGGTCGGTGTAGTCTCCATTTTCATTCTGCTTGAAAGTGTCGACCTGGATCCTGAAGGGCACCCCCCGCTCGCCCCCGTGCTTCCGCGGGGTGAATTCCGTGCTGATGCAGTGCACCTGGATGAAGGCGGATGTGCGCTTCGCAGGGTTCCACAGGAATTCAACCGCATTTAGCTGGTTTGGAATCGTCTTTGTGTCCGTTATTCCCACGGACAGCGGGATATCTAAACCGAGAAGTCTGTCTCCTGGACGATTCCACCGCCAGCCTTCAAGTTGCTGATGCTCCGTAAACTGTAGCCGTCGGTCATGGAAGACGACTCTCACGATGCTCTTCAGCAATTTCCCAGTGATCTCAGGCATCTGTCCCATTTGCCGATTATCCAGCATCCGGATTTCGTAAGACTGACCTTGGTTCAGGTAAGTGAGCGTTTCGTCATGCAGCTTAACCGCGGCCGACGTGGGCGCACCCATCACGTACTGAAACGGTGGGCGTTTGGCTTCCCCCGCCTGCGGAAGGCTGGGGTCGTCCGGCCTGAAGATGGGCAACGCCAGGACATCGCTCATGCTGTAGGCGTCGGCGCTCACCTCCTGCCCGATGTCCAAGAGGCTGGCGTCGAAGTCGTGCACCAGCCGGGACTTGATCATCTCGTCCATGTCGAGCAACCAAGCCATCTTGCAGCCTCGCCGCCGCGGCGCGGGCTGCGGCCTCAGCACGCCGGGCGAAGGGCCCGAGCTCCGCGGGAGGGTCTTTTGCGAGAGCGCGGGCGAGGGCTCCGGCGGCGGCGAGGCGAGCGGTGGCCGGCGGAGGGGCGCGTGGCGCGCGACCCAGAGCGGGGGAGCAGCCGCCCCGCGCGAGCCGCCTGAAGGCAGTAGCAGCACCACGCGCCGCTGGCGCCGCCCAGAGCCTCCAGCCGCCGCGGCCCCGCCCCGCCCCAGGGCCCGGCTTGGGGGTTGGGGTTGGGGTGTGGGGAGGGGCGTGGAGGGAGCTTTTCCCGCTCCGCAGACCTGGCTGGGCCAAAGCAGGCGCCACCGGCTGGGAGATGTGCATTCCCGAACCCTCCGGCCAGCACCCAGGCGCTTGAGCACTTGGGGCTGAGCCTATAACCCACCCCACTCCCTCTGCTCGGCCTGCCCAAAGGTAGGCTTCCATACCTGGTGATTCCAAAAGAACGTTCAAGTCTTTAATCCATTTTGAATACATTTTAGTATATGCTATATGATAGTGGTTTAGTTTCATTTTTTGGCATGTGGTTGTCCAGTTTTCCAACACCATTTACTGAAGAGACTTTCCTTTCTCCATTCTATACTGTTGGCGCCTTTGTCATAAACTAGTTGTCCATATATGTCTGTTTTATTTCTGGGCTCTCCATTTTTTTAGCAATTTATTTATTTATGTATACAAGAACTGGGGTACAAGCCAGAGATGCGGGGGGTGAGAGGATCCACCAGAGACAGAGTGGGGAACAGAACAGGCAGACTGACTGAAATACACTGCTGAGGGGAGCAGCGGGCGAGACAGAAGAGGTCTGCTGTGCCATGTGGGTAGTTCCCTGGCCGACTGGGACCGAGCTTGAGCTGCTGAGGCTGCAGATAGCTTCACAGTGCTGTGCTTAACCCCTTGCGCCACCATGCTTTTCCATTGCTCAGTGTGCCTGTTTTTATTCTAATATCAGACTGTTTCAATTACTGTACCTCTGTAGTATAATTTGAAGTCAGGAAGCATGTTGCGTTAAATAAATTGAAGCAAGCAAAAATTGAGTTTATTAAAGAATCAGCACTGAGGATTCAAACCCCAGAATACTTCCAGATTATTCTGGAAAAGCTGCCTGAATATTGAAATTCTCAATCAGGATTTTAAAAAGTTTGCAAGATGAAACATTTCAAGGATTTTTTACTAAGTAAATGTGGGTAAGGGCCCAGTTAATGTAGCTATCTGATGTAAACAAAGAGGGTTGTTAAATGTTACCCTATTTAGAGGCTTATCTGTTGGGAACTGGCAATTTTAGAGTCAATTCTTTTAAATTACTGATTTGTTTGGAGGCAACAGTTTCCAAAATGCTGCTTTTACACAAAGATAGCATTTTTCCTGGGCACAGTATCTTATAAGACCGGACCAGCCACATCCTGACTCTTGCTTTGTACCCCTTAGTTGGTACCCCAGGGATGGGTTACCCACTTAATTACCTTTGGTTAACAAGCAAAATACCTCCATTTTTGTTCTTTTTTTCTTAGGATTGCTTTGGCTATTCAAGGTCTTTTGTGAGTCCATACAAATTTTAGATTTTTTTGGTTCTATTTCTGTGAAGAAAGCCTTTGGGGTCTCCATAGGGATTGTTTTGAATCTGTACATGGCTTTAAGTAGAATGGCTATTTTGACAATGTTGATTCTTCCAATCCATGTCCATGGAATTTCATTTTTATTTCTTTGTGTTTTCCTCAATTTCTTTCACCAGCATCTTATAGTATTCATTGCATAGTCCTTCATGTCTTTTGGTGAAATTTATTCCTCACTAATTCTTTTTGGTGCAATTGTTGTCATCATTTATTTTTTTTGCCAGTTCATTGTTTACATGTAGAAATGCAAGCAACTTTTGTATATTGACTTTGTAGCCTGCTTCCTTACTGTATTTGTCATATCTAATGGTTTTTTGGTGGAGCCTGCGGTTTTTGATATAATGTTATGCCATCCGCACATAGTGACAGTTTTCACTCAAAGAGAATAAAAACAAATGGGACTACATCAAACTAAAAAAGCTTCTGAATAGGGAAAGAAAGCCATCATTAAAACAAAAAGGCGAGAATGGGAGAAGATATTTGCAAACCATATATCAGACAAGGGGTTAATATCCAAAATATACAAAACATACAACTCCACAATGACAAAACTTACAACCCAATTTAAAAATACAGCATTTATATAGGCATTTCACTAAAGAAGACCTACAGATGGCTAACAAACACATGAAAAGATGGGTTCTACATGATTTATCACCGGGGAAATGCAAATCAAAACTCTGATGAGATTTCATGTCATAGCTATAAGAATGGCTATTATTAAAGTCAGGAAATAGTAAGTGTTTGCAAGGACATGGAGAAAAAGGAATACTTGTGCATTGTTGGTGGGAATGTAAATTGGTATAGCCACCATGTAAAACAGCATGGAGGCTCCTCAAAAATTTAAAAATAGAACTACCTACCGTATAATGCAGTAATCCCACGGCTGGGTATTTACCCAAAGAATGTGAAAAAAAAAAAACTAACTTGAAAAGACATATGCACACCTATGATCACTGCAGTACTATTCACAACAGCCAGCTCTGAGTAGAGCAAATCTATGGGTGTGATTTTTCCAACAGCATGTGTATATACTTGGTGTCTCTGTCACATTTTGGTAATTCTGGAGATATTTCAAACTTTTTAGTTATTATTATATTTGTTGTGGTGATCTATAGTCAGTGGTCTTCAAGGTTGTTATTATAATTGTTCTGGAGTACCACTAGCTGTGAGAAGAACAGGAATTTAACAAAGAGGCTGCATTTTCACCACCCCTCCCCCCATCCAGTAATTCTAGGAAAAGTCTGTGCACATTCTGGGGCAAGATGACCAAACCGACTTGTTTAAAACATCCTCTGTCGGTGTTAACATAAGGGGGTCCTGTTATGGCTAAATGAACAAAATTGGTTAGAACCAGGTCAGGACCCTACCTGTGAGCCTCCTGCTCCCTCAAACCAAGCACATGTATATCAAACAGCCTCAAAACCAAAGGCTTGATTCACTCTTGAATTTGCCGGTGCTTACTCTTGCAGTAAAATTCACTTCTAAATCCCTGCTATGAGTGAGACCATCCGGTATTTTTCTTTTTCTTTCTGGCTTATTTCGCTGAGCATGATCCCTTCCAGCGCCATCCATGTTGCTGCAAATTGCATGAGTTTATCTCTTTTGATTGCTGAGTAATATTCCATTGTGGAAAATCTAAATAAGGGACCAGGAGGGCCTCCCCGGTGGCGCAGCCGTTGAGCACTGGGTTGCGAAGCTGCCCGCAGCCTCTGCGGTGCCGGTTCGATCCCCAGCTGCTCCCCGGCCACCGGAGGAGGGTCCCACATGGCGCGCAGACCTCTCCTGCCGCCCGCTGCTCCCCTCAGCAGTGTACTTCGGTCCTTCTGCCTGCTCTGCTCCCTGCTCTGGCTCTGGTGAATTCTCTCACCCTCCCGCGCTTCTGACTGTACCCAGTACTTGTAAAAACAAAAAACAAACAAGCAAACAAATAAATAATACATTCCTCTATTAAAAAAAAAATTTCTAAAAAAAAAAAAATTAAAAAAAAATAAGGGACCAGGAAAAAGACTAATTGCCATAAAGTAAAAATAAAAATCAACAAGCAACTATAGACCAGAGACACACTACAGTGGGGGGTGGGGGAAGGAGAAGAGGGATTAGGGTCAGAAAAAGGGGGTGGGAATTGTATGGGGAATATAACCAAAATGAAAATGCATACATTATGCGAAAATGAAAATGATGTAACTTATATAAAATAAAATAATAAAAAAAATTCACTTCTAACCCACCCACTCTGACTTCCACACGAATTCTCTCCTGTACTGAAGTCAAGAATCTCTGGATCCCTCAGCTCCCTTGGAATCCATTAACTGCACCCATATAAGATGGTAGACTTAACTGATGAATGTTGTGTGTGTTCTGACTGCTCCACTGACCCTCCATTCCTGTCTCTCTCTCTCTCTCTCTCTCTCTCTCTCTCTCTCTCTCTCTCTCTCTGTCCTAAGGCCTCTCTATCCCCTGAGACATGACAGTATTGAAAGTAGGCCAATTAATAACCTTATAATAACCTGTCAGTGTTCAAGTGAAAGGATTAACATGAAGAAAGTATATTGAAAACCGTGAAAGGCTGAAAGTTAGGCTTCATGCACCAGTTAGCCAATTTCTGAGTGCAAAATAAAAGTTCTTGAAGGAAAGGTTAGACCATGAGGGATTATGAAGTGCCACTCCAACCTTATTGTTGCTATGGAGAAAGATTTAGTGGTCTGGTTAGGTCAAACTAAGCACAACATTCCCTTAAGCCAATGCCTAGTCCACAGAAAGACCCTAACTCTTCAATTTTATGAAGGTTAAGAAAGGCACTTCATCATCCCCTTGTGCTAGAGAAATCTCTCGTGAAAGGAAGTCAAATAATGAGGCAAATAGTTGTCTTATTTTAAGATATTGTCACAGGCACCTCAACCTTTAGCAACTACCACCCTGATCGGTCAGCAGCCAGCAATATCAAGGCAAGACCTCCACCAGCAAAAAGATTAAGATTCACTGGCTCAGATGATCATTGGCATTTTTTAGCAGTAAAGATTTTTTAAGGTATGTACATTGTATTTTTTATTTTTTAAAGATTTATTTATATATACAAGAATTGGGGTACAAGCCAGAGGCACAGGAGGGTGAGAGAATTCACCAGAGACAGAGCGGGGAGCAGAACAGGCAGACGAACCCAAAACACTGCTGAAGGGAGCAGCAGGTGAGACAGGAGAGGTCTGCCACACCATATGGGTATCTCCCTGGCCAGCCGGGATGGAACCCACGCTGCAGAGGCTGTGGACAGCTTCACAGCGCTGGGCTCGACCCACTGCACCAATGGGGAGGCCCTACATTGTGCTTTTTAGACATAA